TATCGTCTATATATTCAAGCAACGAAAAATAGCCAACGAATCTCGCTCACTGGGTGCAAAACATCGAGCAGTAAGCATACAGGGTGGCTACTAAATATTGGCGCATGGTTTATTGACCATATTTTTGCAAAGAGAAACTATTACATCTTCAGAAGTTTATTTTTATATACAGTAAAACATAACAATTCATTACTGAAGAAGTGCTCGAAATGGCCTCCTCGGCAGCGATACAGGCTTCAAGTCTCTTCTCAACTGACATCACCGTGGGCCGCAAGCAGTTTTCGTCGAGTTACTTCAACGCTTCCTCCAAGGAAGCCTTCAGGAAGTCCAAACTTCGATGTTGCCTAGAAGGCATCTTCTGCTGCAGGAAGCCCCACACCGCAAAATCCATTGGGTTCAATCGGGTGAGTTAGATGGCCAAACATTTGTGACCAGTAACCTGGAAAATGGCGGTCACAGAACACCAGCGTAGATTTTGCGGCATGGGGAGGCGCCTAGTCTTGCTGAAGAAGGCACTGACATTTGCTGGAGGTCGAAACAGTCCATGGAAGGAGCACATCACGTAAAATTGTTTCCTGGTAGATCTGGGCGTTAATTTTGACGGATTTGTCCACAAAGACAAACGGTGTCTCGGTGTCGGAAGTAATTCCTGCCTAAATCATGACAGATTTTGGAAATCGGCTCCTTGTGTGCGCACGACGTCGAGCAGAATGCCTGCTAGCCGGATCCAACAATTGCCTGTCCTTTTGAGAATTGTGCGCCAATTCCAGTGTGAGATCTTCTCGCGTCACGTTGACGTCACTTACTTGCGGCCCACGGTGATGTCAGTTGAGAAGAGACTTGAAGCCTGTATCACTGCCGAGGGAGGCCATTTCGAGCACCTTCTTCAGTGATGCATTGATATGTTTTACTGTATATAAAAATAAACTTCTGAATATGTAATAGTTTCTCTTTGCAAAAATATGGTCAATAAACCATGCGCCAATATTTAGTAGCCACCCTGTATTTGGTAGCCACCCTGATTTTCGTATAGCATACATTATACGACCAGTACCCGCGCCTTTCATGTGACCGAGCAGGAATAATTTATCCCGTAATTGCAGTAGAATAGGAGCCGGTTGAAGAAAGCAAGGGCTACGCACAAGAAGTTATGCATAGTGTAGTTGAAGAAGTCTACTCTTACCACCTGACCATCATGTCTGAAATGACCTCAGTCCATATCCTGAAAAACCGGGTCCCTTAGAGTCAAATTTCAGTAGTGTGTGCAAAGACATCGTGCCTTACGTTCATGTTGCCATACCTTCCGTACAGCATCTATTCATTACCTCCAGGGATCCTACAGCAGCCATCCCTAGGCTGATCTCGGCCACTTCCAAGAGTTTGCCAGCTCTACACATGGTCAGATTTTATAATTTTTTTTCTTCTTTTCTGGAGTACATTATTTCAGCTTCCGTGTTCTCTCTAAATAAACCGTTAAACACATCATTAAAGGCATTGATCACGATTCATTGAGGGCGTTGCGGTTTTGATGTCATCAAATGCCAATGGTTGAATAGGTTCAAAAGGACGATTTTCTCCACACCGCACGCTGAAGGGATGGTCTACCACGAAATTCAAAGAATATATCGAGAAACCCGGCATCGACCCTTCACCTTCGCCCGTTCATTGGAGTCTTTTACCTGGCTGGTCCAGGCTCATTTATCCAGCGGGGTCCTTCATAAACAACTCCATCGCCATTTTGCTGATCCGTGCGCTACGTTTACAGTAAGAACAATTCACGTTTGGGGGTAGCCTCGCGTCCGTTTTTCTTCAGAAACCACATCTTTGGGGGCAAGCCTCGATCATCTTTTTTGGCGCGCCAGGACCGAATCGCTAAGATTCCCACTGGCGGCGGACCGCTTGCGTGCGAAGGGACTTGTGATGAGAGTAGTTTTGCTGCGGGAATCGGTCTTGCATATTTCATGTTTTCAATCGGGCGGAAGTGGTGCCGTGGCAAGTGGCGCTGCTTACCACACGCGCGGTATGAGAATGGAATCCTGAGTTGTGCGTCGTCCAGGCCAAAGCCTTCCATCCCTCCGGGGTCGGTTAATTGGTACCAGACTTGTCTGGGAGGATAAAAAACACTGACTTGTACATCGGCTGGCCCCCGCAAGTCATTGTATAGGCCACATCGCATTCAAACGCCACTACGAATGTACAAATGGAAGTAGAATGCGTGCCGCATCCCAAAAAGGGATTGATCAACGGCGATCAAGAGTTTTTGCCCCGCTCCCACCTGTTGCCAGCCAGGGTCAGCTTTTCAGGGCCACTCACGCTATCGGTTTATACCCAATCCCTCTTCAGGAAATTCTCAGTGCTAGGAGTCATTGCTACTTGAGAATATTCTGTACACCAATCAATTCCATACGATGAACAGCACCATACCCTGACTACAAATTTAAGTTTTATATAATTTCTCTACACTCGAGTGAGATTTAGGCATGCAACCTCCTGTCTTATTCTACAAGCCTGTGCGATTTCTTCACATGTTGGCGATTGCTCGAATTAGAGATGGTGCAAAAGATCGGCCCAAAAGTCGATTACGAGTTCGCTCTAGCGCAAATCATGGGCTGCACAATCAACTATCAAAGAAACCTCAAGTACTACGCCCTGGAGGCCATTTACTCAGAGGACTTGGTGAGTAACATAAATTCGGTGATTTTTAGTTACTTAATTTCCCGATAAGGTCAGAATTTCACGAAAAAGAGAAGCATCAAAAATCATCACTCATTTTCTCAAAAGGACCAACACGTTAGAGATTGCGCATGTTTTACGTTCTGCGGTCGCGTGGGACTTCAGTGGAATTTTCAAAGGCAAGCCCTGGTGTTAGCCCAAATAATAAGAAGGATAACGCGGGGGAACTTTTAGTCCAAGTAGCAATCGAAAGTTCCAGATTTTCCTTCCTCTGGTGGGAATGGGGGAAAATAACTCATAATCGTGAAAATGATGCAAAAACCCACCGTGGTATTTGAGCGGTATTTCAAAATTGAACTCTGATTTACAATGACGAGCGAACTCCGAATTGTTCCTCTCTTAAAGGCACAACCCAGGCAGAGTCGTGTGAACGCTTCCCTTCGGTCTGTAGTATAGACCCCTAGAGGACAATCACAAATGTGGCGTTGCACGGAAACCAACCGACAAGAGCGCTTGGGCCTTGCAAAGTAAGCTGCCCAAGCTGCAGACTTTTTTCTCTTATCAGGCTGTTGTCTGGCGCTCTCTCATCTGTAGCGCTCTCTCGCCCCATACTCTCCTCTCCGCGCTTAGTCTCTCATTCCCTTAGCACAGCCGATTAGGAAGGTGAGTGAGCCCTCAACCTAAGCGATTCCGACGGATTCTTTTTCTTGCTTCTTCACTGTCGGCCCATCGTCGCGACCTATACATTCGCAGTTTGCTTTGCTAAAGCTTCACACCAATGCTGACCCCTGGGGCATATGCTTGTAACGCAGGGTTTCGATAAACAGGGAAACGCTCTCATCAATCAGCGATCACCACAAAATGCACTGCCATTTATTGGGACACTTCTAGCCGTATCTTCACCAACTAGCGCGATGCTTAGGCGTGACCCTGGACTTAAGTTTCAATGACTAGGGTCCTGCGTGCCGTTCGAAACCAGCTGCACAGCAACGCACTAAAAGCTTTTGCAAACCGATGAACTATGTTTCGATTCAATTGAACATCACCGTGAGAGTGATGCGCAACTCTTGGGCATCATTTAGGCTCCATCAGATGGGCTGACTCTTGCACCAACAATCTATCATGCGCTTCCTCTTCACACCCAAGTTTTTTTCCGACTCTAAATCATCGTAAAGAGTTTCATTCGTTGTCTGACAAAGGCACAATTTTCCTATGACAATGGATTCTTCAAATGATTTAAACGTTGTTGATTTGTTTCTTCTTTGTCGTCCATGCTCCACCGGACCTCTTGGTAATTTTTTTCCAAACTGAAAGTGGTCTGACCGTAAAGGTTTTTAGGCGTGCCCAGCATCCTCAAAACGTGGTTTGCATTATATAGGGGCACTTGCATGGAACATCTGTTTGGTTTATTTTTCCTGGGTAGCTCTCTGTACGGCAAAAATATGTAGGATAAAAGATTCCTCCGATCTCCATGGTGACAAAGTTTTGCGCTTTCTTTGACGTCGCGATACAGTACCTGCGGCTGGTAATCGATCCTATATTATCTCAGGCCCATCAGTATCCCATACGGATAGGTCTTAACAAAACATGATGCCAATTTGAGCGGCGCTTAAGTTTTTTTTACCCCTTTGGCTTTCAGAGGGCCTCTCAGGAAAAATGAATAATGGTTTCGTAATCCATACATCTGCCTCTACATTATACGAAAAACCATTTTCAAAAAATGGGCACGACTGGAAGACCTTCTATTTAGTCCTTAAGAATCTAGGTACTACAATTCGGTTTTGCTGAGACGCAGTCTGATGCCAGAGTGAGTAGGCCATCGAATCGAACTACTTGAGCTCTCCTCTATGTTCCCTGCCGCAGAAGGCTGGGGTGCAGGCGGATAAAGAATAGCTGTTGTGTTAGCTTCGAGTGCTGAAAAGTATGCACAAGAGCTCTATGACTAAGCCCTGGAGGGGAGGGAATTATGGGGAGGTGCACAACTTACCCTGTGACAAAAATTGGAGCGTGGCAGACCACGGTGTACTCAGGTAGACGTGCAGGAGAAACCACCGAGTTACGGGCCGGCAGCATATGCTGCCGGCACGCCCACTAGTCTATGACTGGCTGGCTCGTGTCTGCACACAGTAACCCGTGTGGTGGTAGCCAATCACGGACGAGTGGGCGTGTCTGCTGCGGCCCGTAACTCGGTGGTTTCTCCTGCACGTCTACCTGAGTAATGCCTCACTATTCAGTTGAGAGAGCATAGAGAGTAGCAGCACGTTGAGGCAGTTGAAGGACTGCGTTCAAGTTGTCCGTAGGTCGTCTATGCAGCCGTTCAGAGTCACATGGAGAGTGTTCCATCGCGATAGTCACGTGAAAGAAAGTGAAAATTTATAAAACTTTTCCCGCAATCTAATTTAGTAAATCGCTTTTCAGATAAACGACCCACTGACCGTGATTCGTCCAATTCTGGACGTCTGTGGCATGAGTCATATGGCTGTGACCGATCACAAGGCGTGGAAAATTCGAGAAGAAGCAGCGATTCAATCGGCAAGCGTTCACTCCTCGAGACATTCAACGACAAAGGGTAAAATTACTGGTAGAATATCTGCAACAAGACTGGTGTAGATAACGTCTTTTCATATGGTATATGGATATCACTAGAAAAAAATAAAGCTGTTTTATGGAATTTTCGCTCAAAAATGTCTTGATGGTTTACAAAACATAGGCGTCGAGAATTATTTCCCAAAAGGTGAAGCGCTTGTTCAAAACTTTTCTTGTATTTTTCATTGTTTGTTCGTGAACTGCTTGGTCTTTTGGACCCCGCACTTGTTGAACGAATGCTTCCACGTGAATGCTGTGGGGAGGGTTAGATGGAACAATTCCAGCTCCAGGTGGAGAATTTTCGCTTCAGGCGAACTATAGACGCGAACCCGCACCCCTTGCTTATCCGTCGAGTATGCTACAAGTTACGCTACCGGGCACCGTTCCGCCTGGTTCAGGTTTTTTGCAAGTTATGGAATCTAATACTCTTTTCTGAGCGGCCATGGGATTGCCAGAAAAAAGGGTGAAAAACTTCTCTCAGGAAGTAGAAGTTTTACATTTTCACATACTCCAAACGCATTTGTAGCAATGAATACTTGCATATTAGAAGGTGTTTTCGTATAGAGAATATATATATATATATATATATATATATATATATATATATATATATATATATATATATATATATATATATATATATATATATATATATATATATATATATATATATATATATATATATATATATATATATATATATATATATATATATATATATATATATATATATATATATATATATATATATATATATATATATATATATATATATATATATATATATATATATATATAGCAAGTACGCCTTCTTATTTCATATACTATGTT